ACATGATCCCAAGTCTATATATATATATATATATATATATATATATATATATATATATATATATATATATATATATACACACACACACACACATAGAAGTTGAGATTTAATGTTAAATCGTTAGATCATTTATCAGATCAAAACATTTCAACTGTAATTATAATAAAAAGGTTGAAATACCATGGCTTACGGAAGATACTTTTTAGGTATAACATTTTTATTGAGATATACGTGCATACTTCGTTACCACAATCGCTAACGTAGGTTCACTTCTAAGTGATAACACGATTAGTTCGAATTGGGAAGTCGAAACCATGGTCCAAAAACTCCACAAATTAACTTTAAAGTCATATCAGATAAAACCCAGTTGAAATTGCTCGATTTATTTTGATTCCGTTTAAAAACTTGAAACCAAAAAAGAACTCAACAGAATCGAATCGTTTACGGCAAGAATCGAGTCAAAAATCAATTAACAAGTTCAGATACATTATCGAGAATTTAAAAACATATCTACTAATTATTCCTTCAGTCTTAAAATAAATATCTATATTTTTATTTTAGTTTTCCCCAAAATAAGTAATCGTTTTCCAAAATAAATAATTGTTTTCCAATTATACCCTTAATCGTAAGATGGAGAAATTCATTACTTACTCTATTATTAAGGCTGTAAACGAACCGAACGAACACGAACGAAGACTTGTTCAAGTTCGTTCGTTTAACTTAACCGAACAAACGAACGAACACGAACGAAAATCTTTGTGTTCGTGTTCGTGTTCGTTCGTTTAGAAATCAGGTATGTTCGTGTTCGATTATGTTCGTTCGTTAACATGCTAAATGAACTTAAACGAACGGGTTAAACGAACATAAATGAACGGACTAAATGAATATAAATAAATATTATTTGAATTCAAAGTAAATAAACAAAAGATTATGTATTAATTTTAATATATAAACGAACATAAACGAACGAACAGTAAATGAACGAACGTTATACGAACATATATGAACGAACGAGACTCTTGTTCATGTTCGTTAGTTTAATTAAGCGAACAAAATAATTTGTTCATGTCCGTTTATTTATTAAATAAACGAACATAAACGAACTTCCCACCGAACGATTCACTGAACGTTCGGTTCGTTTACAGCTCTATCTATTACTAAGGGGATTTATCATTTATTTAATTAAAATATAAAATAATTACACGTTTTCTAAGATATATACTCCCCTGTCGCAAAATACATGTCCACGGTTATATACGTTTTTATATGACCAAGGGTATTAAGGTCAATTTACATGCACCAATTAATCCCTCGAACGACCATGACTTGGAGTCATCGCAGATGAACCTCCATGGTCATAAGAGCTTTGATAATGTCTTGATTCAAACCCGAGGAAAACGAGATTTCCGCTACATCCCTCTAGATTTTAACTGGTGTGCCACATTTTTATTTTAGTTTGTCTGAAAATAAGTGTCTACTTTCAAAAATAAGTATCAGTTTTCCCAATTTACTCTTTAATTACGAGATAGAGAATTTTTTTATCTCTATTATTAAAAATATAACAATTATACATTTTTAAAACTTCATGTCATTTTCATTTCAGACATTTATTTTGAAACAGATCAAGGTATAACTTAAGGGTCTGTCATTTAGCAACTTAATAAAAATCCCCTTGTGGCCGCGGAGGTTCAAATGCGGTGACTCCGAACTATCTGCAAAACAGGCGGTCGTTCTGGGATTAGTCGGCTCGCATAGCGGGTTCGATATCCAGGTTAATAATAAAAAAGGTTTGATGTGACTCAAAAGTTTATTCAGTCAGCTATACATGACCGTTTGGTAGTAGCTTAATCATATAGAAAACGACTTATTCAATAACCTAATAAAGTGAAGTTTTATGCAGAAAGCCAACTTCTTTTCCAAACCTATCCCTTCCGGTTAAAAAATATGCTTATTCCATCTATAAAAAAAACCTTCTCAAACAACAAAAGTTTCATTCTAAACAGACAAATTAATCTATACAGACAATTTTATCCATATAGAACTTAGGGGCTGTTTACTTGCGGCTTAATTACGTTTATTGGTCTATCTGGCTTATTCGCACACCTCATTTGGGTTGTTTACTTACTGCTTATTCGCACAGAACATGAATTAATCGCACAGATAGAGATGGGTGAGTTGTTCCCATTCAGCCACAAATATGACACCCTACCCCTTATTTAAAGCACTGTCTCCTTCCCTATGAGACACCCCATCTTCGGCCTCTTTATGATTTTTTGTTTTGATGTTTAAATAATTAATATTGGGGGATAAATCGGTCATTTATGTTATTCAGACTGTTGGTTCAGATAAAAAAAAGTAAACAACAACACTCATTTATCCAGACAGACAAATTTATCCCTACAAGAACTAATAAAAAACCGGACTATCCAAATGAGATTGGGCTTTGGGCCCGGGCCCATAACTACAAATCACTTATTCCAAAATCCCGACCGAACCCAAAAATCCGTCACCTTCAACTTTCTCTCCCTATATTTACTCTCACATGAAACGGTCTCTTTCCATTTCCGCCATTGTCGTTCCTCTAAACACCTCTCCTCTTCTTTAAATCTCACTTTCCGAATCCAATCGCATGGAGATTTCTCGCTCAATTTCCATTTCTCCGATGATCCGCCATTAAAACCGGCCACCGGAGCTCAGATTCGTCATCAGATCGTCCTAGATCAGTAACAATTACCTCCAATCTCTCCGAAACTTGTTTACGGTTCTCGATTTTCTTTTTGTTTTTAATCGCGAAGAAATGATCCACACAACGTCGGAATCAGATGTGACGAGTTTAGGCGGAAGCACATCGTCGTCATCGGCGTCGCCAAAACAACATCCGGCGACGACGTCGTATTACTATGTTCAGAGTCCATCTCGTGATTCACATGACGATGTGGATAACAAATCGTCGATCAACAGTCAAACAACTCCGACTTACACTTCGCCGATGGAATCGCCGTCGCATCCTTCTCAATCACGGCCGTCGTCCGCCGCTAGTAGGATTTCTGGACCTTATCGTGCGATTTCGTTAGGTGGAAAGCACCATAACCACCATATATTTAGGAAGAAGCATCATCATCATCATAAAGGATGGCCGCCGTTGTTCAGCGTGATTGATGAGGAAGATGGAGGTTATTCCGATGAGGATTTCCATGGTGATGAACTGTTCATGAGACGGTGTCGTATTACTCTGGTTTTGATGGGGTTTCTCATGATTTTTTCTGCTGCTTGTTTCATCACTTGGGGTGCGAGTAGACCTTACAGACTTCAACTTCAAATGAAGGTAAAACCTCTATTTATACATATGCATACATATATATATATATATGTGTGTATATATATATACACACACACATTCATATATAAGGGTATATATTAACTATAAACAATCTATAAATTTAGAAATTTTACAAACCAATATTCATCACACATTTTTTATTTCTATATATATCTACTTGGTATCATTTTAGATCAGCCTCTTTTCGTGAAAGCACATAAATAACATTGAATCTTCACAGCAGAACATTGTGAAGATAAAGAAACATTCACAATGTTTTTGTTTTGAAGTTATAGTGTTATTTTGTGGTCTTACGGGTCTTACAAAAACAGGTTGGTTTCACGTGAACCCAACCATATATATATAGGATGATAATCAAATGAGAACTACAAAAAGATTACAACCCTGTGAGAATCGATACAAAAAAATTTCTATGATTTTTTTCACAAATGTTATGATTTTTTCCATCAAATGCTATGATTTTATATTTGTATTCTTATGGTGAAAAAACTCCATATTTTGTTGGTTCACATAATAAAACAAAAAATATACATAAAAATGTTTCAAAATGTGGAATTATTACATTATGAAACAAATATATGTGAAACAATACCTTAAATTCTAGCATTTGACAAAATAGTGCAAAAAATATATTTATATAACTTTTTTTTATGGTTTTTATTTGATTTAACCCCGGTATATATATGTGTGTGTGTGTTTCTATTTTAATTTGTATAAACTTGTAAATCAATTTTAATGTGTGAAAATGCAGTGTTTATAAGGTGGTGCTTTTATATGTAAATAAAAATAGTCTTGAACATTTTACATTTAAAACAATATTGTATTGACACTGCATTTTCACATGCATATGTAACAACACACACACACACACATATATATATATATATATATATAGGGTTGGGTTCACGTGAGACCAGCCTGTTTTCGTGAGATCCGTGAAACCACATTTTTACACTTGAAACTTCACAGCAAAGACAATATGAAGGTTAAAAAAAGTCGAACCTTTATAGCAAAAACACTGTGAATTCACAGCATTTTGCTGTGAAATTTCAAGTGGAAAAAGGTGGTCTCACGGATCTCACAAAAACAGGCTGGTCTCACATGATCCCAAGTCTATATATATATATATATAAAACTAGCTTATAAGTTTGTACGATTTATTTTGTAAATGATTATGTGTCTATGCATACATGTGTCTATGCATACATTAATACTTTGCCGTACACTAAGGTTCAAATAAAAAATGGCAAAAGTGATAGAACTTAAGGATAAATTATTCATATATGATTGGTAACCCCCAAAAAAATCCATTTGGATATTCATATGTGAATCTATGTTTGCTTACCTACTCTTTTACCAATTATTCATATATAAAGATGCATATATGAATCCATGTTTCCTTTTATCTATAATTGCTATATGAATTGTTTATTTCTTACATTCTCATCATTTATGTCTTTCTTATTTGATCATTCCGTTTTCCGTTTTGATGCATTTATTATGTGTGCATATATTTGGGGCAAAATGTTAAAATTGCTTAAAAATGAGAAAGAAATCTGGTTTAGATTTATTTAGTGTAATGATAAAAAAAAAATCAATTAGGAGTTGTTTGTTAATTGTTGAATGGTTTGGTGCAGAATGATTAAGTGGTCAGAATGATTAAAAGTTCTCATGAAAAATGAAATATAATTATTTGGTAATTGTTTACAATGAAGTTAGAGCGTTGAATGGTTAAGGGAGGTTCATGATACAAAATCATTCAGAGGGTTTTAGAATAAGCATGGGAATGGCCCCCGGTCCGTTGGGGAACCCGGTCCACCCGCCCCGGTCGGGGACGGGGATCCCCGTTTGTCTCAAACCGGGGATGAGGACGGGGACGGGTATTGTACTCCCCGCCCCGTACCCATTATATATATTAATTAATAAATTATATATATATATATATATATATGTATACACATATATATTATTTATTTCAACTAAAGCGGTAATTCATAATTTTTTATTTCCTAACTAGGTTTATAATCTAAAATTGTTATTATTTAGATGTTAATATGTAATATTTTGGATGTCAAGTCAAAATACAATTACTCGATATAGTTTTATATTACTCAATATCTTTTGGTACATGCGACTTTAAGTTTTTTTGGATTAAGTTGATTTTTTTTTGTTTTAGGTTATTAATTCTTATATGATGTTGTGTTTTTTTTTTTTTTGTATTAAATTAAATTCATTTTGGTTTTAGGTTTATTGAAAATGTTTGGGATTTAAACATGTATGGTCTCTCACATATATAATTTAAAAATAAGTTACATTAACGGAAAAAAAATCTCCATTTCCCTGTTCGGGATCCCCGTTCCCGTTTGTGGATGAGGATGGGGATGTGATTATATTCCCGGTGAGGATGGGGATGGGGATAGAGATAAGTAATCGGGGACGGAGACGGGGATTGAAATCCCCGCCCCATTCCCATGCCTAGTTTAAACTATTAAGAAACAGACTTTTTCAAACAAAACTCAACTCTTAACGATTCAGAGGCTGCCTCTTAATAGAATTATTAAGAGGTAAACAAACAACCTCTTAGTTTAACAAATACTTACCTTTTTTATCTTATACATTTTGACCAGTAATCTGATAAATCTTGTAACTACTGATGTTGTAGATGCCAAGTTATCAATTTGTACTGTAGTTTCTGATTTATTATCTGGCAAAATTCCAATCAAAATCAAGCCTACGTTAAGTATGCTGAAAATCCTTTTTTTTAGATAAATGAATACAAAATAGGAAGATTTGAACGTTCGTTACATTACTTCTATAAAAGAAAATTATTGTCACGCTAAATAGGAACCAAACGAACTCCGTTATATTTTGATACATTTTCCTCTTAATTTTTTTCAAATGCGACGGTTTTTTTATATTTCGATAATCACTACACAACAAAGAGTTTCACCGACGGATTTTTCTGCAAGTAAGTGGCGGATCCCCTGCTGATTGACCATCACCGATGGAATTTTCCATCAGTGATTGAAAATCCATTGGTAATCACAATTACCGGCCACATTTTCTCCGACAACGAAATTAGCGGGTAATCCACCTGTGACGGCTTTTTCTAATGATTTTAGACGGGATTTTTTGGTCGGTAAAGCGCCTTTATTTTGTAGTGAACTAGACTCGTTTTCGCTCACGTATCGTCTCAATTTACCTTTTTCTTTTCTGACATGCCTTCTATAGAAAGGGATACGAATAAAATACACCTTTAGATACTAAAAATTTAGGGCCCATAAATACTAAAAACAAGTACAATAGTTTGATGTACAAATTACCTTTTTACCCTTTTTGGTAACCGTTTTTGTTTTGAGTCAACTTATACACATCTTGATTAATCTTATTAGACCCTGAAATTTCCTTTTTCTTTCCTTCGTGACATGAATTATCAACACGTTGGCCTTGTAGAGTTGGAGGGTAAACAATTTCTATTACGGAGAAGGATTAGATGTGACAGGAGTTCCAACCAAATTGTTGACGGTAAACTGTACTGTAAAGATGAATATACAGAACCCTGCTACGTTTTTCGGTATCCATGTCTCCTCTACTTCTTTGAACCTCTTCTATTCGCAAGTCATGGTCGGAACTGGTCAAGTGAGCTGCCTTTTCAAACCCTAATTTCCTTCGATTCACTTCTGAAATTAATCTTAAAGTAAATTCATAGTACTGTTATATTTTTATTAGTTTATGAAGTATTATCAACCGAAGAAAAGCCAAAGGACGGTGTGGGTGAACCTTGAAGGTCGTAGGGTTCCTCTGTATGGAGCCGGAGCAGCGTTGGTCATGTCAGACAGTAACGGCAATGTTCCACTGAAGTTAGAATTCGAGATCCACTCACATGCCAATTTAGTGGGAAAATTGGTGAAGACAAAACATCGTCGCAAAGTTCTGTGTGTCATGGAAGTTGACCCTCAGAAAAACGATGTTATTGATTTTACGTCCAGTTCATGTTCATATAACTGAAAAATAATGCGTATCAAATTAAGATCCAAGATTAGCTTTCGTTTGTCGTAGTTGAACCTCATCGATAAGAGATTCAGCACTTCCGTTTACATTTATTTGAATTTTTTGTTGATTTTATCGGTGTTAAAAGAGAATAAAAGACGGGTGCGTCATTAGGGTACATACGGGTAGAGTTTGCTTCCATATAACATACGTATACACACAAATCATGGAAATGCAATGAGTTTTCGATGTAGACCGACTTATAAGTAGACATTGAAATTTGAACCCATCAAGGATACTCGTATAAGACTGGACATAACTAGACGGGATTATACTGGAGTCGTCAGGCCCGTCCCTTGACCTGTTAAATCCAAATTTAGAAGTGGGCCCCCAAAAATTTAGGGACCAAATTTCACACCCGTTTGGGCCAGGTTTATAACTCGCTTCCTCTATTCCGGAGAAACTAGTAACGACGCTTCGATCTCTTCCTCTATCTATTCCTGATCCATCGTCAGCGATTGTCGATTGAAATCTCCAAAGGGCTCAAAATACAAAGATGGCTAATGATTTGGCTTCAGATGCGCAACGGCAACGACAACGGTTAGATTTTAGACGATTTTTAAGATTAATAAATTGCCTACAAAATGTTAGTTAAATAGCATTTAAACTCGACAAAATTCATTTACATGTAATGTTATTTGGCTCATCATCTTACGCCAACTTTGTCGAATTTAAATGCATGTGACAAGTTGTAAACGTTAAGATAAAATACCTAAGATGTAAAGTTTTAAAAATAAGATGTAAGTACCGAGTAACCGGTTGAAGACTAATTTTAGATTAATTAAAAAGACTAATTTAAGATTTAAAAAAAAAACATTTCATTAACCACATCAGCAAATATTATTGAGTTAGATACCACATCAACATGATAACCAGTTAATGATTCAATCAGTTATCCGAACACTTAAATGTTTGAAACTTTACATCTTAAATACCAAAATAGAAGTTTTAAAAGTACGTCACCCAAAATAGAAATCAAGTTAAAATACGTTACTTTTTCATGCAAAATTTTCATGTCTCATGCATATCCACCAATCATATGAATACAAGTATGAACTAGTGGCCAGGAGTCATCGCATGTGAATACAAGTTCCAAAATTTTCATGTCTCACACCTCCAGACGACCACGATTGGCCAGAAGTCATCGCATGTGAACCTCCATGGCTACAACACAGATAAGCACAAAATAATACATTTTTTGCAGCAAATAGATATGAACTTATGAGTTATTTGAGAACCTGTTTACAAATCAAAAGGAAAAATGGTATCCCAGATGCAGCCTCTATTGAGATGCTAAAGAACTACTGGAATCCTGTTGAGATTCTAAACCACTGCTGATGTTCTCCGCCTTGTCGATGGCACAACCCGCCGGCAGAATCGTGCCCCCGATCCTCGCTGGCGGCCAATACCGCAATACCGATCTCCCGATTATGTTTTTCGAAGGTAGAGGTCCCCTAATGCCATCAAAAGTCGGTTTCAATTTCGAGGATCATACAAGAAGAACGACGGTTCAACGATGATCGGTTTTTCAAACCATTAAATTTTGAGAAAATCCGCAAAGTAATTTGGATAAAACGTAACAAAGTTTGGTTTAGTCGTTGTTTAGTGAAATGAAGATCTTTTTTTCTAATCGATGGGTACAAAATACAAAATTTTGAAACTTTGCAAAGTATTTGCGCTTCTCGATGAAACGGATCAGATGGTAAACAAATCTGAAAAACTTACCATACGTGTGAATCGTAGCTGTTGTTACGGTTGTCTCCCATCACAAAAACGGAATTTTCGGGTACTCTCTACAACAAAGAATAAAAGCAGCATATTTAACTACGGTTTCAAGATTAGGGTTTCACGGAGGACGAAAAATGTGACTAGAACGTAAAAGATTAAACATACAACTGGATTCATTTCGTATTTGGGCGCTTCGAAAGTGAAGTCCTCGTTTCTGACCACCCCGTTTACTATTAGTTTCCCATCGTGTACCTGCGAAGGAAAAGTTTGAAATCGAGCCAAATTTGCTTTTAGATCATCTAAAAGTTTTGTTCATGTGGTGTTCATATGATGACATCTGTCATGATGCTCTCCTATTACCATGATTGGAGTTCAAAATAACTATTTTAACGAACAATTTAAAGCACGCAAACCCAGTATATCCCGCCCACCCGCACGTGGGGTTAGGGGATGTACGACAGACCTGTCCCCTATCCACGGGGGACAGGTCTGCGTACATATTACCCGTGACCCAATATTTATCTCTCAGGCCGAGCATAACCCAGTATATTCCACAGGTGTGCGGATCACGGGATGTATGCAGACCTGTCCTCTGCCCAGAGAGGGAAGGTCTGGGTACATCTTATCCCCATACCCTATCTATGTGTGGGATATATTGGGTTTGTTTGGTTTGGTTCATTTCTCAGGCCCAATAAACGTTGCATAGCCTAGTATATCTCACCAGCAGGTGGGGTCAGAGGATGTACGTAGATCAGTCCTCTACTACCCAGTAGAGGACGGATCTGCGTACATGTTGCCCCTAGACCCTATCTTTGGGTGGGATATACCAGGTTTGGTTTATTTCTCGGGCCCAATAAATGTTGCATAGCCAGTATATCCCACCCGCAGGTGGGGTCAGGGGATGTACGCAGACATGTCCCCTCTACCCAGAGAGGGAAGATTTGCATACATCTTACCCCCAGACCCTATCTCTGTGTGGGATATGTTGGGTTCGTTTGTATTGGTTTATTTCTCAGCCCGATAAATGTTGCATAGTTTTGGCCTTCTCGCAATATTACACGGTAAACTTTCTTGAAGTGATCAAACTAGTGTCGAAGTAATAACAAGATTTGTGCGTTGGAAATTTCTAAATTTAGCAAGTACACAGGAAATATTTAGATCCTACGACATCGAAATGCAAGCATAGATGAAATCACAAGATATGAACTAATATTAATTTATTGTATTTGTGGGAATAAATCAAGCGCACCTCCACCAAATCTCCGGCCTTTGCGACAATTCGTTTGATGAAGACGTCATCATCGGTGTATCCTACCTCTTGGAGGACCGGAGGGCTTTTAAAAATCACGATATCATTCGGGCACGGCTTTCGAAAATAGTAACTAACCTGAAACAATGTTGACGATCAAGAAATTTTCGAATGGGGATCAAATAAACGGATTAATCATCTAGACAGATAACTGATAGAGCTTTTTGAACATTAAAAACAAAAAAATACGCATGTGATAATATGGGAATAAAAACTACACCGAATATTCGGTACTATACTCGGGATGCTCTTTAAGCAACGTTTCAGGAGACCACCAAAAACTTGAAACCATCATGCATCAATGCACACGTAGACGTCATTACTGGGGTTTTCACATAAACAGTCTCTCTACCCCTTAGGGGCAAAGGCAAGGTCTGCGTACATCCTACCCTCCATACCCTACCTCTAATGTGGGATATATTGGATTCATTTGGTTTGGTTTTAGATCCCTGAGGGTGCATCCGGTACGCGAGACACTACTGACATGACAAAACAAAAACTTATCGTCCCATGTTTTGTGCCGCAGTTAGGGGCTTTTTGGTTGGCTTTCCATTAATTACTGTATGGATAAAGCTGATGGTGTGGATTAATCTGTCTGTATATAGATTGGAAGGGTTTTTGTTCTGGAGGATTTTTTTCATAGATGTAAGGAGCGTGTTTTTCATTGGGAGGGGAATGTTTGCAAAACACATGGCTTTCTGCATACAGCTATCTCTAGAAGCTTACTTAAAAATCCGCTCTCTATATCATTGAGCCACTACCAAGCAGTCATGTATAGCTGACCGAATAAGTTGTGAGTCCTATCAAGCTCATTAAGTTGCTAACAAACATGCCCCGAGACTGGAATTGAACAAGCCTAAGTGGGACGAAAACGCCTTTTTCTATCCACCAAAATAGGTGGAATAAAAATCTAGGGAGATAAGACAAGCTTCGTAAATTACTAAACTACCCATGTCAAATTATAAACCCTAGAATTTTCCACAGTTCTTTCACCCGTCTATCTCACTCTTTATCCGTCAAGTCCTATCAAGTCTAGTCCCGTCTTATCTACGAACCAAACGCACCCTGATAGACCCAGGCCTCTAGGGGAGATCCACATATTGATGAATGCTAGTCACACACATATTGGGAATCCTTTGCAATTCAAGAACCGTTATTGATTATAGCCGGAAAAATTTGCAAATTTTTCGAATTCAAACGAAAGGTGGCGGACTCTCACACTAAGCGGAATCTTAAAAACGAACGGTGTGCTATACATGGTGGCGTATTCTTTCGCCATTTAACTAAAGAAAGAGACGATAATTCTTTTCCTATATTTATAGAGTAAGGGGTTGTGTGGTTGGTTTTCCATTAAGTCCTGTATGGATAAAGATGTCTGTGTGGATTAATCTGTTTGTATAGACCGGGAAGATTTTTGTTTGGAAGAGTTTTTTTATGAAAGGACCGTGGTCTTTTAAACTCGGAGGGGCAGGTTTGAAAAAAACTTGGTTTTTTGCATAATAAGCTCCCCTATAAGCTTACTGAATAAGCCACTTTCTATATCATTAAGCCACTTTCTATATCATTAAGCCACTACCAAACAGTCACAAACAGCTGATAAGCTGTGAATCCCATTAACCTCATCAAGTTAAGCCACTTTCCACATCATTAAGCAACTACCAAACAGTCATGCATAGCTGACAGAATAAGCTAGTTGTGAATCCCATTAAGCACGTTGAAACATAAATTAAGCAAAACTTCTACCTTTTCAGCCACGATTCTATCACCTACATCAAATGTAGGATACATAGATAATGAAGGAATGAATCTTGGTTCAGCTATAAACGATCGAAACGCAAGTGAAACTGCAAGAGCAGCGAAAACGGTTTTCGCATCATCGGAAGTGAAATCAACCCAATCTGGTAAAAACCCACCTTTCTTCTCTCCATTCCCATCTCCGCCGTCTCCTCCGCCGTCTCCACCACCGCCGCCACCGCCGCCTTCCAAATCCAAAGCTACCTTCGTTTCCTTAGCTGGGTCTTTAATTCCATGGCAAATTAGGTTGCCAGAACGAGTTTTAGGGGTTGGGAAATTGCTAAAACCTAGAAATTTGGGGGTTTTGAGAATGGGTTTATGATGGGTGTTGTTGAAAGCTAGGGTTTGTGATGAATTGAAGGTGGATTTAGGGTTGTGGAGGGAAGATAATTGAGGGAGGAGATGTAAAGATGATACCATTTTTATCTTCAAATTTTGTTGTGAAATCAAGAACTACAGTTTTGTTAGGTTACAGAAGGAACGCGGTTTTACCCGATTGGATGGAAGACTGCAAAATCATTCGATGTAAATGAAATGGATACCCGAATCGAATTGGGTTTTTTTTTCTTCTAAGTTCATGGTTAATGATTAAGCTTCTAACGCTGTATTTGGTACACGGGATGGGACGGGATGGGACGGAACAGACGCTGTATTTGGTACACGGGACGGGATGAGATGGAGCACGACGGGACGAGACGAGACGAGACGTGACAAAACTCACTGTCTCACATTTGGTGTAGCATGTGACAGAACAAGAACTCTTTGTCCTACGTTTGATGCACATGGGACATAGAAAATAATTGGGACAATGTATGACAACATAGGACAAAAGAGGTTTTTTCTTATTCTACCAAAATAGATGGAACAAGACGAGACAAATATGAGACATAAATTAAAATATTACTAATATAATATAACAAACAAAAATTATATAATATAATATATTAATTAAGTATTTAAGATTAAATATGGTGCAAGGGTGAGAATTGAAGATTCTTATGTGAATTACTAAAAAAATTTCATATGAATATTCTTATGTGAATTACTGAAAAAATTCATTTGATTCACATATAAATAATATGTATGGTCAATTCACATATGAATACTCAAATTGATTTGTGGAGTTTTCATTGATTCACATAAATTTTCTATAACATTTCATTCTTAAGACATGCTTGTTAGAAGTTTAACGAGCTTAATGAGACTCAGAACTTATTTGGTTAACTATATATGACTGTTTGATAGTGACTTATTCAGCAAAATTTTAACAAACATGTTTCGCTTCTTTTTTACGTCGGTTAGGATGGAAGACGCTGAGGAAAAAAAATCTTCTAAGAGAAGCACGTTTGTCAGAGTAGTTTTTAAGTTTTTCTTTTTATTTTCTATATGCTTTTAACAATTTATACATATGCTTTATACACCTGTACATATTGTTTTATTAAAAAACATGAAAAATGACCAAAATGCCATAATGTGAGGAGCATACCACCGATGTAATTACTGTAACGACCATCAGAACCAATGACAAAAACCGTAATAAAATACAAACCATAATGTTACTGATGTAATTACTGAAATCGACCGAGTGTTGGTTTTTGTAATTTACTCTAAGGGACTGTTTACCAAATATTTATCAGGTCATCCATTACTTACAAGAGTCACCCTCTTACTTACGTTACAGGTAACATTATCGTCTCTCGACCATCAAAATTGATTGTTGGTAAGTATCTTTACCCGATAGGTTTTTAACTGGCAAGAGTCCTCTCATTTACTAGGTAAAACTCTCGACACCTATGTCGCCTCTTACTGGATAAGATTATCACCTCTTATCATATTCACACCATAAAGTAAGGGACTGTTTTACAGTTGCTGAATGGTTTGATGCAGAACGATTAAGTGAACAAAATGATTAAGAGGCGTTTATGATATAATGCAAAATGAAATGTAATTGTTTGGTAATTGTTTACAATTAAATTAGGGCGCTGAATGGTTAAGGGAGACCCATGATACAAAAGGTTTTAGAACCATTAAGAGACAAACTTTTTTTTGTCAAACAAAATTTACCTCTTAACGATTCAGATGCTACCTTTTAATGAAGCTATTAAAACATAAACAAACAACATCAAATAAAGAGGGAGTGTTTGGGATTGCTTATAAAAATAACTTATTGACTTATTCCGGTGTGACACCGTTAATAAGCAGTTTTGAATGTCCGGATAAACAACTTATATCGATGTCAAACCGATAATAAGAAGTTTTTAAAGAAGTTAAACTCTTCTAACTTATAATAAGTTGATAAGTGCTTTTATAAAAAAACATAAGTTGTTTTAAATAAATACGTAACCAATAAATGATTAAAAAATAAATATTTGTTTGATTTTATCACTTCAAAAATATTTAAATGAATATTTTTTGAAAGGGTTCTTTCTTTTTGGGACCAAACTCGAATATCGAGATTCGTGTGATTCAAAGGCGGTTGGTGGCGGCGGCTGGCGCTGCTACTTCCGGTGGACTCCCTTTCTTCACTTCAATTTGGTTCACCAAATCTCTTAATCAGCAACCAAGATATGGCGGCGATTTGTACCTCCGTTCATTCCTTCTCGCCTTCTTTGATTTCGAAATCACCGCCTCCACCATCACTAGTTGTAGTGACTACCAGATTGTCTTCATCATCATCATCGTCGTCATCTAGGTCATCAGTTTCACGGTTTCTAACTAAATCTCCGGCTCGGAGGATGAGGGCGGCGTCGGCCGCGAGGCTTGTTTGTATGGCACCTGACGAAGAGAAATTGACTCGCCGTAACCCTCTCGATTTCCCTGTTGTAAGTCTATCATTTGATTCTCTGTTTTGTTTTTCGATTGGCTGTCTAGGGTTCCAATTAATTGATGCTATGTTCTAGGTAATTATGTTGTTAGTTCTTCAGTCTACTACTTGGTGATTAGAGGCACAATTGTTGATTAATTGACCTAATTATCTCGAAAACTATAGGATAATTTATCGAATTCGTTACTATTTAAGAGGGGGATCTGTAATCTGTAAATCTATTAGTTCAATTTCTCTGTGACGAAATGTTCAGGTGTTATGCATCTGAAATACGATAATTATCAACATTTCCGTAACTTAAATAGACTCATGGCTAATTCTGTCATATACACACACACACATGACTTGTTAGTGGCTTCATGATATAGAAAGTGGCTTCATGATATAGAAAGTGGCTTATTTAATAAGCTTGGAGGGAGCTTCATGCAGATGCCAAGTTTTCCTGAAACCTTTCATACCCAATTAAAAAACATGCTCATTCCATCTATGAAAAAACCCTTCCAAACAAAAACCTTCCCGATCTATACAAACAGATTAATCCATATATGACTTAATGGAAAACCAACCAAACAGCCCCAAATGAAGATAAATCAATATTAGACCAGTATGTTCTCTATTACTTGGGTGTCTCACTTGGTAATCATAATTATCGTTTATTTATTTTGTAGAGATAAAATGAAGTTACAGGGTATGCAAATTTAGGGTTCTTGAATAGTTTTTGTAGGCTAGATGCTGTGGAATTAGTATGGATGTTTGTTGTTCTTACAGTTGTATTGGTAGGGTTAAAAAAGCTGAAGAATGAAGATCTCTGATATGCAAATATTAAGGACAATTATGCATCACGAACAGACAAGAAACCAACACGACACAATCATAAACCATCAACATTAATCACTTAGCATCTTGATGTAGTCCTAGAACTTTAGAAGGATCGTTATGGTGGTTAAATTAAGTTGCTAACAGAAGATATCATATCATTGTAACCATTCTTATTCTAGTGGACCCATTTGATTTCTAGTAAAATTCCAGCTGAATCACTCGTGTACAATATTTAGGGGCTGTTTGGTTGGTTTTCCATTGAAGTACTGAATGAATAAAGTTGTCTCTGTGTTAATATGTCTGTATAGAATGGGAAGGATTTTCCATAAATGGAAGGAGCGTATAGTTTAATTGGGAGGGACAGTTTTTGAAAAAACTTGGCTTTTGGCATAAAGCTCCCCCCAAGAAGCTATGTTGTTACAACTTTCAAAATACAAAATAGCAGTCACATAGCGGTTATTGCGGTGGTATAGCAGTCCAAAAATAGCAGTTCATGTAATATTTCTTAGAATTATGTATATAATATAGAGTAAATTACAATTTTGGTCCCTGTGGTGGCCACCTATCGTCAACTCTAGTCCCTCTTTTGAACTAATTACAGTATAGGTGGTTGTGGTTGCCATTTTGCTTCACTTTTGGTCCCTCAGACTAATTTTTTAAAAGTTCTGCTAACTCCAGGGGTATTTTGGTCTTTTCAGTATTTTTTTATTTTCAATTAACAATAAATACATAAATCATTATTACACACATATATATATGTTCTGGGTTCAGCTCCTTGATGTTAACACGTGTGTAAAATTTCTCCAAAATGGAGACCTAAAAGTCAAAATCTCCAAAAAAAATTACATTCATCTCCCACAGATTCTCCATTTTAGAGAATCAAACAGTGAGTATAATATTAAAATATTTCATTCATCTATTAAAATATTATTTCTCTCTCTAAATATTTATTTTCGAAGTTTCCTATTGGTGGTCTCAATTGGTAATCATTTTTGGGGTCTCCAAATTTGGAGAAAAAATCCTTCTCTCTTCTACTTTCTCCATTTTGGAGATAGTTTTGAGGAAGCTGTTGGAGCAAAATATTGGCTCATAATCTCCATTTTGGAGAAGCTGTTGGAGATGCTCTAACCCTTCTCCGGTTTCTGGGTTCAGCTCCTCGATGCCTCAATGTGTTCATCCACCCTCAATGTGTTCACCCACGCTACCTCTTCTGGTTTCAGCTCCTCGAAATCCCAGTCTGGTAATCCTTCACCGATTTCTACAAGAGTCAAGGCTCTTCCACAACTGAAGACATTACAGTAGGAGCTTCGGTTTTGGTGTCGCCATTGCTGGTTTGAGAAGCTGTGGTTGAATCGTTTTTCTTTTTGGAAATGGAGGACGTTTCTGGCTCCAGGACTGATAATGGCGAGTTGTGGGAAATTACGCCTACTGATTCCTCCGGAACTTCAGGTTTAGGAGGTTGAGAAACGCGGCGGAGGTTTTGGTAAAAACCCACAACACACACACATATATAATGTAATAATAATTTCAATATTTATCTTTTAATTGAAAATAAAGAAATACAGAAAAGACGAAAATACATTGAACTTTTTAGAGAAGTTGGTCTGAGGGACCAAAAATGAAGCAAAATGGCAACCACAGTGACCAATACTATAATTAGCTCAAAAGAGGGACTAGAGTTGATAGTGGGTTGCAAACACAGAACCATAAGTGTAATTTACTTTCTCACACTCTCTCTCTCTCTATATATATATATAGATAGATCGATCGATAGATAGATGGAGCGTGAGAAAAAAAGTTAACATGAGAAGTATAAGAAGGGATCTCCACCCTTGATCACTTTTAATCTCATGCCCACCTATGAATTGCCTTTAGAAGGGAATTGATCCGGTGTATCTCATTAGTGTTGATCTTCAATTAGGATTGATCCAAGGGTGGAGATCCTTTATCACCCTTCTCACCATCACTTCCCTTCTCACCGGAACCCAACCTTATATATATATATGCATACATAAACATATTATGAATTAATTAAAAATATAGTTTCAACATCAAAAACATCTACTTAAACAAGTTTCACAAAACAAAATAGAGAAGTGTACATAAATGAAGACGGTGGAGAGCTGGAGGCTGCTAATGTCATCGAGTGAGGCTGGAAAAAGAAGTCGAACAGTATCCAACTTGGTTGACTGTCAATGATGCTAGAAAGAAATTGAAACCTAAGATTCTAAGATTTTCTAAACCGGATGTTGTTATTGTTAATGGATTAAAATAAAATAAGGGACCAAATCTAAATAAGAACCCAAGTCAAAATGAAATCCAAAAAAAATAACAGCATAGTTCAAAAAAGGCCCAACTGAGAATATCGGTTGCGGACTGCTATTTTACCCCAAATGTCGGTGAAATAGCGGTAAGTTGCCCCGCTATTATCGAAACCGCAATTTCAACTGCTATTTTGCTTATGACCGATAATTGCTATTGCGCTGCAATTAACAACATAGAGCCATAGAATAAGAATGTAAGGAGCTTACTGAATAAGCAACTTTCTATATATTAAGCCACTACCAAACGGTCATGCTAATAACAACTCTCATTAAGTGTAAGGGTAACCCATATTGTTCGTTTACTTGTATCCAAAATATGTTTTTGTTTGTTCCCTTTATGTTTGATTGAAAACTTAGCTTTTTAAAGGACTTGTTTTTCTTGGACTCTTTATGTCCTGTATATTACCTTTAGTGGTTCATCGAATCTTGTGTTAAAATTTGAATCATAGAAATTTTCCAAATTGCTACGTTGTTTTAGTACTCGAACCTTTTCGAGTCCAAGAGGAAACACACACACATCAAGTTAGAACCGGAAAAGTTGCTCCTATCATTCGTGTTCGAGCGAGTGAGCTTTCAAGAACGTTTATCTTGTTAAAATTATTCGAGTTACATGGTCTAAGGATGTTTTGTGGTTTATAAAAGAGGCTATTTAAATCTTGAATTATTATTTCCACTGGGAATTCGTTTACGAGAGCATCTTCCGTAGCGATGCTATTTTTAGAAAGTTTGGAGATTTGGGAAAACTTTGCTCTCCTAAAATAGAGAAGAATAGGAGAGAGATTGGAGAATTTTCCAAATTTGAAAGAAGAGAGAAAATATAGCATACTTGTTGGAGATGGTCTGAGGTGCCCCATAGGAACAAGAATCTTTAACATGACAGTTGCTATATCTATTAGATTCATGGCTGAACTAGGCGGTTAAGCGTGGTGTTATAGCGGTGGTGACACGGTTAGCGGTCATTGGCGTAATAGCGGTTGCTAGTGGCAGCGTTCCTCCGATTTCACCACTTTTTGTATGTCAAATTGCGGTGGGAAGTCGACAATTTGTGGTTGGGCTTAGTATTAGATATGAGATATGTATTCTATATAATATATATCAGTAGGGAAAAAATTTAGAGAGAACCTTGAAAAACCTCTCGAAGAACTCATCCAAACCGTTGATTGAGATGATTAGTAGATGTGGTTATAAGGACGGTTATGACCACCTTTTTAGAAAAATGAAATTATCGCCTCTGTTTTTTAAATCGAAAATCAGCAAAATATAACGAAAATTGGAGCGAAACCAAATTACAACAAATAAATGATCATTTTATTATCTTTAATTTGACATTCATTTTGATATATATTTTCATCCATTTTATTTGACAAGACAGTACAAAAACTTGTTGTCCCGCGTTTGGCGCGACATCACACCAGGATAGGATAGAACACCAAAATAGGTGGAATCAAAATCGGGAAAATGAGACAAGATTGATAAATTACTAAATTACCCATGTCAAATTGAAACCCTAAAACTTTCTTTCACCTACTTGCCTCACTCTTGTCTATGCCGTTTCATTTGGTCCCGCCAACGACCTAGGATGTAAGTAAATTGTGAAACCATGTTAATACTATGCATGAATGATCCTAACACGATTCTTTCGTAATTTTATGAAATGAAGCATCATCTACTGACTATCGGGTTTACGTCCAATCTCACTCGTTATATATCAAAGCAAAACCCGTTAAGCAAATCGTGGTATAATCTTGCAGGAATGGGAGAGACCGAGACCAGGCAGAAGGCCCGATATATTTCCTCAATTTAGCCCCATGAAAACACCACTACCGCCCCCATTGCCATACGACCCCCCTGCAGAAGACGAAGAAGAGGAAGATGAAGAGAACAAAGAAGAGGAAGAAGATGACCCCGATAAGGAACAACCAGAAAACCGCTTCCGTGCTCAATCATAATCATCGATCAAGTACCCATTTTTGTTAGCGGTTTGGTAAAATGAGAAGTTTACGGAGAACAATGATGTTTCCGATGAACGACTTAAACGTGATGGTAGTGAAGTTAATGTATTTAGTGAGCCATAGAATCTGGATTTCGAAACTTCTTGTTTTTATAATGTAAACTGGTATACGATCTTGCGGACTTATTGTCGTTTTGGACTCTTTTGTTGTTCGAATCCGATTATAATAACGTAGCGGAAATTTCATATACCCTGAGTTTGAATCCAAAAGTTGCAAAAGGCCGAAAGTCCTTGTGGCTATGGAGGGTTACATATTATATCTCCATCAGAATTTCAGATGGAGGGTTCACTTGTTATGACTCCAGACTATTCGTGGTTGGCTGGTGATATGCACTGCGCGTAAGTTGGCCTAAATACTTACTGTTACCCAAAAACAATCTGTTATTTTTTTTGTTTATGGTTTCCGTGTAGTTCTATTCGAACCTGATACAGATTGATTACGCTCATAAAATCTTCCGGTTTGTGTTTGTTAAAAATTGCTATTTTCTTCCCTATGATTTATTGAAAATTGCTATTTTTGTCTATGTTTTTGAAATTACGGTTTTTGTCCAAGGGTGGTGCCGGTTGGTTTGAGCTTGGAATCCAAAGGTAAAAAGTGTCTGAAGATCTCATGGTCGAAACCAATGAGGAATAAAAATCCCCTTGTGGCCATGGAGATTTAAACGTGGTAACCGCGGGTAGTCGCTTTAGGATTAGTCGGCTCGCATAGTGGGCTAGATATCCATGTTAATAAAAAAGAAAAACTATTTTAGTTATTTTTTATAAAATCTTCTAAATTGATATAATACATAAATTCAAATTTTAGAAGACTTCTTTTACCTTTTTAAAATTTTTATTTAAATACCCATTTTAAATATCGACAATATATATACATAGACGAATAACCATGTGAGAAGGAGAGTTAAAGTGAGAATCGTAAGAATTATGATCTTAAACTCATACATGAATCATGCTTGATATGAGAATTGATCATGTACAACTCGGTACATCTCATCCTAATATGCATTCAAGGATGGAGATAATTTCTTATGCATTTAAGATAGGGACCAAGTTTGAACGTTTTGACAAATCACAATGGCTATCTTATAAACTCCAAACTATAAGGACAAAAAGTGTTATTTTGACAAACCAAAGGGACTAAATCTGTAAATTACTTATAAAAGAATTCAATTGTACCAACCCTCATTCCTCTTATCAGTTGGTCCCAAAATAACGAAATTGACCATGCCTTTTGCAGGTGCCTTATTGGTGCTTTTATAACAGACCTTGATTTGACAAAACTATTTCCCATGTGAAATGACAACTTTGCCCTTTTACTCACAAGGGCACCACCCTTCACACATATTGATTGGCCTTAGCCAAACCAAATGACTATTTTGACCTTTTAGTCACATTCACACATTGGCCTCAACAAATCAAAGTGGAATGACAATTTTGACCTTTTATTAGAAGGGTACCCTTCACATATATTGGACTCAAACAAGACTACGAGGTTGTTTGGTAGTTCTTGAATGATTTGATGCAGAATAATTAAGAGGTTTTCATGATATAATGCAAAATGAAATATAATTGTTTGGTAATTGTTTACAATTAAATTAGGGCATTGAATGGTTAAGGGAGACCCATGATACAAAATCATTTAGATGATTTTATAACCATTAAAATACATATTTTTTTTTGTAAAACAAGATTCACGTCTTAACGATTTAGAAGTTGTTTCTTAATGAAATTATTAAGAGATAAACAAAGAGCCCCTACTTCTATGTTCTAAATTGCGATGACCATTTTGACCTTTTAGTTAGAAGGGTACCCTTAAGACATTCTTCCAAGTGAAATGACAATTTTGACCTTTTAGCCAGGAAGGTACCTTTCACACACATTGGCCTCCACAAAACTTCTTCCATGTGTAATGACCATTTTGACCTTTTAGTCAGAAGGGCATGCACCCTTCCACACATATTGAATTATTGATTGACCTCAACAAAACTACTTCAAAGTGAATTACCATTTTAACCCTTTAGTCACAAGGGCATGCACCCCTTCACACATATTGATTGGCCTCAACAAAATTACTTCCAAGGAAATTACCATTTTGACCCTTTAGTCACAAGTGTATGCACCCCTTCACACATATTGATTGCCCTCATCAAGAAAACTACTTCCAAACTGAAATTACCATTTTGACCTTTTAGTCAGAAGGCTACCCTTCACTTCACATTTCACAAGTACCCCAGTTCCCTTGAAAGCTTAAAGATTCCCTTTCTGGGTTCACCCACCTCCACCCCCCCAATTTTCGCGCCAAAACCTGCCATTAATTACAGAAGCGATACTCCCCATTTTCACTTCCTTTCATACAGTGGGAATGATGATGGGTGCTTCCAATTTGATGATGGGCTTAACCCTTGTTCTCGTCGTCTGTCTCGCCGTCGTTCTGGGCTTAGTCTTGGTTCTATTGGCTGAACTCTACTGCTCCATCTTACTCCGCCGCCGTCAGCCACCACCCACCACCACCGAAGATCATATAACCACCACGGACAACAACACCTTCTTACCTCCTCCTATAGCTCCTCCATCACTCAACAACTTCTACGCGCACGGCGTTCTTGCAGCTCCAAGAAACATCCTTTACCCTGCAATCTCCGGTGCCGGCGACATAGAGAAGCAGCAAGAGCTTCCTCCACCGCCGGAAAATCAAGAAAATGGGTATCTCCGAAAAGGGTGTTCTGGGAATTACTCCGGTCGGACGGAGGAGGATTTGGTTTATATTTCGAATCCTATGTATGACGATGAGAATGGACGGCGGAGCAGGGCTGCAGGGAATACTCCGTTTGAGACGCCGGACACCTCGCCGTCGCGGCTGGAGACGGAGGGTTCGTCTGGAGAGGATGAGAGAGAGGATGTAACATCTTTGAAGACGGTGTTGACGCCGCCGTTAACGCCGATGAAGAAGCTTCCGGCGGAGGTGAAAGACGGTGGTGGTGGTGGTGGCGGTGGAGATTTGAATGAAGCTTCTTCTTCGTCTTCTTCAGAAACTCTCTCTCTTTCTTGGTGAAATCCAACCATTTTTTTCTGTGAGGTTTTTGGAACTTTTTTGGTTTATTTCTTAATTTTTAACCTATGCTTAGAAATTATTGAATTAGTCAAAGCTAACATGTATCTATCTGTATGGTAAATTGCATGAAAAAATAACTTACTTTAATTTTATTCATATTTTGGGTAACATACTTTTAAAACTGCAATTTTGGTACATAAGATATAAAGTTTTAAACATTTAAATATCCAAGTAACCCGTAGAAACATCAACCGGTTACCATGCTGATGTGGCGAGTGATGTGGTATTCAACTCGGTATTATTCGCTACTCAACTCAATTTCATTCCATCCCTCGCCACATCAGCATGGTAACCGGTTACCCGGGTATTTCAATGTTTAAAATTTTATATCTTAGGTATCAAAATGGAAGTTTCTAAAGTATGTTGCCCAAAATAAGAATCAAGTTAAAGTACGTTACTTTTTCATGCAATTTATCCTTATCTTTTATTTATAAATATGAAAATTTGGTCGAAATAGTCATTTTGGTCGATAAGTTATTCTTCTTACTTATTTACCTGAATGTCATTACCTTCGCAAGTAAAAAGATAAAAGATAAAAAAATTACAATTTATACCCAGGTCCGCAAGTGACATCTCTGCCTGCAAGTCAGGGAGGTATCAGTTGTGTTTTTATTGCAATTTTTTTGAAAAAATATAATAAATCTGAAATTAAAAGTTAAAAACTAAGAAAATGACATTAACAAGATTTGAACTTGGGTCTGGGATGGAAAAAAAATGTGTAAACCATATCTGCTAAGATAAACTTGTATCTTTATTGTAGTTTCAAACTATATATGGTGACATAAAAGTTGATATGGTATCATGACTTTGACTTGTGGAAGGAAAAAAAAAACATATTCAAAAGACCATTTTTGAAAAGCTAATTTTCATATATCTTTTCAGCTTAGTTTCCTGGGATGTTTTTTTTTTTATAGGGTCGTCCTTGGGGGACGGGGGTCAGGTGTAAGGTGTTCATGAGTTGAAAACATTTGAACAATCCAACCCAATGTTTGCGGTTTGAAAAATCTCAACTCAACCCAACCCGAACCAAAATGCAACTCAACCCAACCCGTATGGGTTGGTCGAGTTGATACTTTGGTACGTTAAAATATTATTTTAACCTTGAATATGTTATTTTTAATAACTCATGATTTCTTTTTCATCATCAACCATTTGATATAATTTATCCATATTTCTTACGTATATCACATTCAGTTAATTTTCTCAATTTACATATATGATCATAGTTACTGAACATGTATACGAATGAATTATATAAAGATGTAAATAGATTGAAAATATATGTATATGAAGAACATACATGATAGTGTAATTGTCTAATGTATATATTAATAGGAATTCAACAATCATATTAAATTTAAGTAATAAAAGGATATCCGGTTCATCGGGTTGGATTGAGTTCAAATAATAGTAACCAATATCAACCCAATACCTATAGTTTGACAATTTTACTATTCGATTAGACATCGGATTACTTCGGGTTGAGTTATTTCATGGTGGGTTGGGTTGGACTGATCTGTTGGTCGAATTTTTGAGCATACCTAGTCGGGAGCATGCCCATGGATCACAAGAAAAAAAGGGCCCAAATTTTTTTAGTATCATGAGAGCATTTTAATCATTCTGATCATTTAATCATTCTGCATCAAACCATTCAACAACTGACAAACAGCCCTTAAGGGTCGTTTGAATTGTGGGATTGTTTTTGAGGGACTTGAATTTCATGGAGAGATTTGGATCGGAATGGATTTGAAATCATTAGTGCGTTTGGTTTGTAGGATCTGGAATGAAATTGAATTCCGTTATTTATAAATAATTTATAAAAAAATTTATGAAAATAATTAAATTACATTTTTATTAATCAATTATTACAAAATAAATGTTTTTAATATTTTTCTAAAACCTTATTGCATACAATCATACGAAATCCGATGAAACCCCGAGCACTCATAATGATTTCAAAATCCTATATTTGAAGGATTTCAATTAAATTCAATGATTTCAAATCCGGACAATCCAACAAACCAACAATGGTATTGGAATGGATTTGAAATCCAAATCCCCCAATTCAATTTCAATCCTGCAAACTAAACAGGACCTTAAAACTAGTTTACTGGTCAACAGTTATTTTTTTATTAATTAAAAGATCTAATAGTTACACATTCTTAAAACTGTGTATTTTTTTTATTACAGATATTTATTTTAAAACAATGGTGTATTTGCTAGTACTATTTTGGAAGTATGTTAACCTTTTAAACCACCAGGATGGTGTCTGATTGGTTTGAGCTCGGATCCAAATGTCAAAAGTACCAGGAGGTCCCAAAGAGTAATAAAAATCTTCTTGTGGCTACGGAGGTTCAAATGCGGTGACTCTAGACTATCTGCAAAGCAGGTGGTCGTCTTGGGATTAGTCGGTTCACATAGTGAGTTAGATATTCAGGTTAATAAAAAAAAGTATGTTAAGCTTTGTTGATTTAAATATTGTTAAGTATTTAATTTTTTTTAAAAAAATTAAATTTTAATGAAATTTATTTATTGGTTAATTAAAAAATGGAAGTTAACCAACAACAAAAATCTGACATAAAGTGTTTTTATGTTTGCAATCAAAACCTTTAATAAATAATATTTATTTATTTTTATAATATTTATAAATAATATTAATTTTTATTTTTATTAATTAATAAATTATTAATTATTATTATTAAAAGACGAAAAAGTCCTCTGGAAGAATGGGAAGGAGATGATCATAGGATGCTCGTTTTAAGGAAAACAATGTTTTATGAAATTAAATACAATATAAGAAAACATACAGTGAATTGTCTTTGTCTGCTTGTACATAATAACGACACCGTTTTTTTTACATAGAGTAAAATTACGATTTTACCCCTGCAATTTATTAATACTTTCGGGTTTTTTTTTTTTTTTTTGGTTTAGAAACTGTGGTTTTTATATTTATGGTATGTAATTTATTATTTTAGATTCGAAACTAATTCCTATATTTTAAAAGAGCAAATTGCATGAAAAAATAGCGTACCTTAACTTATTCTTATTTTGGGTAATGTATTTTGAAAACTTTCATTTTGGTACTTAGGATGTAAAGTTTTAAACATTTAAATATTCGGGTAATCGGTTGAAGCATTAACCGATTATTATGCTGATGTGGTATCCAACTCAGTATTATTTGCTGACGTGGTTAGTGACATAAAATTTTTTTAATCTAAAATTAGTTTTCAAACGGTTATCCGGATACTTAAATATTTAAAACTTTACATCTTAGGTATCAAAATAGAAGTTTTGAAAGTACGTTACCCAAAATAGGAATTAAATTAAAGTACGTTACTTTTTCATGCAATTTGCCCCTTTTAAAAATATAAGGGATCGAAAAAGTGAAGAATTATAAACCACAAGGATCACAACCGAAATAAATTGTAAACCATAAGGATTAAAATAACAATCAATAAGAAATCATAGGGATAAAAACCGTCATTACTAAACCATAAGGATAAAAATCGTAAATTTTAATAAATCACATGCAAAAAAAGGTAATTTACTCTATAAAATAAATTATTAACATTGTTTTTTTGTCTTTTGTACCTAATTTACCCTTTGCATCCAACTTTTAAGAGTAAAGGTTTGTTTGTTAAAAGTTTAACCATAATCACAGTGTTATTATGTATATATACAGTTTATTAATATATGACTTAATAAAAAACCAATCAAACAACCTCTAACTTATAGAAATCGTCGTAAATGGTCTAACGGTATATGGATTATTGGTATATCTCAAGGGCTTTTTGGTAGTTGTTGAATGGTTTGGTGCAGAATGATTAAGTGATCAGAATGATTAAGAAGCTCTCATGATATAGTGTAAAAGAAATATAATTGTTTGGTAATTGTTTACAATGAAATTAAGGCGCTAAATGGTTAAGAGAGACACATGATACAAAATCATTTAGAGGGTTTTAGAACCATTAAGAAGCGGACTTTTTTTTTTTGCAAACAAGATTCACCTCTTAATGATTCAGATGTTGTCTCTTTATGTAACTATTAAGAGATAGACAAAGAACCCCTTTAGGGATTGTTTGTTTACCTCTTAATTTATACTATCTTATTAAACAAATTTATCAAAAATCTTAAAGTCTTAAAATACTAAAGAACCAAAATACCCTTTATACTACCCTTATGTCACTTTTTCATTTTTTCACCCCCTTCTYTCMTCACATACACTCACCCCCTCACATACACTCACCCTCTCACAACCGATTTTTTTTTAAATTATAATTTTAAATTTACATTTTATACCCCCATAATTAATTAATTAATTTATTTTGCGTCATTTACTTTTAAATGTTTCATTTTAAACATTTATCAAATTAACATACATAATCGTATATCAATTAAAACATATTTAAAAAATATATTTTTATTTTAACAAGTTACACCATTATAATCGTATCGTTAATACCTTCGAAATAAGTCCAATATTGAGTAGTTTTTGACTTAATTATATTATTATATATATTGTGAAAAAATATTTTTAATATTTATGATTTATACTTTTATAGTTATTTATTTATATATATTATATATTTTGGGGTTAGGCTGTCCAAATTGCACTGTATAATATGTTCTTGAGTTTTTTTGAAATATATATATATATGTATTAATTCAATCATAATCTGAGTTTCTGGACAATAAAGAGGGTAAGCAGTTGAAATTTCATTCTAAAACCCATCTTTCTTGGTCTTTTCATGGCTTATGATATGTCAAATTTGTAGTTTTCTTTATTGGTTTTGAGTGTTTATCTTAAAACTCAAGTTTTTTGGTTCTTTGCTAATGGTGTAAATCGAATACATTTGTGGAGTCATTTAAATATGTTGGATTTTAAATATATTGGATTTTAAGCTGTCATACAATTTTTTTCATCGATAGTCTGTAATTGG